ATAAATGAAGGTGACTTGACTTGACTTGACGTGACGTGACGTGATGTGATGTGATGTGATGTGATGTTGTGATGTGATGTTGTGATGTGATGGCCAGTGGCCTCAGCGGAAAGGCTAAGATGAAGTAACAGCAAAAATAATGAAAAATAACAGCATCAGCACACACGCGGCTGGAATGAGGCCAACTCAATGTTGTTTTTAAAAAGAGTTGAGTTACATTTACTTATTAAGGCGTTTTTGTCCTATAACATTCTGTTATTGTTTGGTGACTATTAGGATGATAAAGAGTCATACAGCGTTAAATAGCTACTGAAAGAGCTTGTATGCAGTTTGTGTATGTTCATTGCGAATTATTATCTGATTACTGTATTCTTCAGTTTTTATTAGTAGTTTTTATTTGGTGGAATACATTGTTCTCATTTTATGGGGATTGTGATTTTATTGATTTGAGAGTTTCACTTTGATATGAAGTCACACTTCCAGCAGTCATTTCAACACACTGAAACCGAAATGAATTTCTTGTTGTGTTTGTTGATTTTGTGTGACAGAAATAGAATACCGAATGTGCCACCAGTAAACACTGCCTCTTCTGTGTGTGCAACATCTATAATAATATTATCTGCTAATACCATAACATTAAATCTGATTGGTTTGGATTGGTGACATCATATGTAAATGATATGCGGCCCGTGAGACTTGCACTTGGACCATTGTGCGGCCCAGTGAAAAAAAAAGCTTGAGAACCACTGCTCTACTGGAAGAAATGTCTGAATGTCCAGGTTTCCCAAACAATGGCGGAACTGACCCCCAACAGCCCAAATGATAGTCCGAAAGATGAGGGACAAATGATGATGGGCAATACACCAAAATAAATATATTTTTTGAATTGAGTCCAAATCTATAAGGGGTCTCGGGTCCGTCCATTCGCCGGGAACCGACCAGACAAAGGAGAACAAATAGGAGAATCCTTGATTGGAAAATTACAGTCAGTCAAAAGTTAGCTATAATGGGAGACTCCAATCTGGCACTAATTCCTTACTTTACACATGCAGATGTGCAAATGAAACAGCCTTGACTGAATAAGTAAGTGTGTCCTCTTTCTTTTGTGAAATAGACCTAACGGTAAACCCCCTTATACTGTGTGACTAATCTGCAATTTTGACACACATTGATTAATTATGAACAATGTATCACTTTTTATTGTAAACCTGTGGTAAAACATCGATGCTTGTGTTTTAAATATTCAAGTAAACCATAAAAATGCCAGCAAACGGTCACTTTTATCATGTTTGTTTTGTGATCACACTGTTTCCAGTGATTTCTTTCTGATAGTTTTCTGATAAAACTTCCATTTGTCGGTGAAATGATGGGTTTCCCCCCCCCCGGACCCCCAATGCCCATTTTAGAGTGGCCTCTTATTGTGGCCAGCCTAAGGCACACAATTATGCAATAATCATGCTGTCTAATCAGCATCTTGATATCCCACACCTGCGAGGTGGATGGATGATCTCGGCAAAGGAGAAGTGCTCACTAACACTGATTTAGACAGATTTGTGAACAATATTTGAGAGAAATAGGCCTTTTGTGTGCATAGAAAAAGTCTTAGATATTTGAGTTCAGCTCATGAAAAATGGGGGCAAAAACAAAAGTGGTGCGTTTATAATTTTGTTCAGTGTGTATATATATATATATATATACAGTATATGTATATACCATTTATATGTATAAATGGTGAATCAGAGCTACAAGCGGTGTGTCCATCCCTGCCTTCGTTACATCACGGGTGGGGACACACACCAATTGTGTGTGCACTGTTTGGGAGTGCAGAACGCACAGGCAGCTCTCGAGGGGGCTGCTTGCGCGGATTGTGAAGCTTTACAGATCCGAGTGCTGCACTCCCGCCTGGCTATCTTTGATGATCATGGCCAGGCTCGCGAACCTTGTGGTGTGGGTCCCGCATCCGCTGAGGCGACACGACGGCACTCATCATGGGGCTCGCAAATGGATCTGACAGGGGATCCTGAGACTGCTGAGGCACTTTCTCAGGAATCCTCTACCAGTTCGGATATTCTCCCTCCTCGTGCGGAAGCCCGTCCAGTGGCTTCTTCCTCATGAGTGGAGAACCCGATGCTTAAACTGTCTGCTTCCGAGGAAGCGGACATGCTCAGCATCAAAGGCAGGAATTTTGGAGAAGATTCGCCACCCCATGTCCCCGCATATGAGGAGCTGGTGGAGGTTGTCTCTCGTGCCGTGGTCCGTTTAAATATTAGTTGGCCACGTGAAAGCCAAGGCAGGAAGCGCAAAGCAAAAGCAAGTTGGATGAGCGCTTCCTGCAGCACAGAGAGCAGCCTCTTCGCCGGGGACTGCCATTGTTTCCCGATTTACACAATGAGTTGTGTAAATCGTGGAACACTCCATATACATCTCGCTTGTTCAACGCCACATCCGTGTTTATAGTAACATCGTGGGAGCGAGAGATAATGGCTACGGGATGATGCCTTGGGTGGAAGAGCCATTGGCTAGCTATCTTTCACCCGGCGCTGCATCATCCCTGAAGACCCCGATGCTGCCCACCAAACCCTGCCGTGATACATCTTCTTTGGTGGGCAGGGCTTCTATGGCTGCATGTAGGCCTGGTGCCAGTGTGCACACTATGGCGGTGCTGCAGGCTTACCAGGCGGACCTTCTTAACGATATTTATGAGGGCGAGCGACCAACACCTGAAGATATAGCTGAATTGTGTAAGGCTGCCGACTTGTCTCTCCGTGTCACCAAAGAAACGGCCCGCGCTATTGGCAGTTCTATGAGGCGGCTCCTCATATGCGGGGACATGGAGTGGCGAATCTTCTCCAAAATCCCCGCCTTTGATGCTGAGCATGTCCGCTTCCTCGGAAGCAGACAGTTCAAGCATCGGGTTCTCCACTCATGAGGAAGAAGCCACTGGACGGGCTTCCGCACGAGGAGGGAGAATATCGGAACTGGTAGAGGATTCCTGAGAAAGTGCCTCAGCAGTCTCAGGATCCCCTGTCAGATCCATTTGCGAGCCCCATGATGAGTGCCGTCGTGTCGCCTCAACGGAGAGGCGACACGGAGAGACAAGTCGGCTACTATGGTTGTCACGGAGAGACACCTCTGGCTGAATTTATCAGGCATCAAGTAAAAAGACAGGGCTTTCCTCCTTGATGCCCAGATTTCTGCCCCAAGTGGGCAGCCACAGCCATCCACCAGCTCAAAAAGAGAGTGTCGCCTCTAGAGCCCCTCCTCAAGAAGCATGGGGGCATAGACAGCGCTCTCAACCGAAAAAGGCTTCGGGAAGAGATCCATGCAAATGTAGGATCTCTTCGGGCTGCCCCACCGGTGGCGGAACGATCGAGGTCGCCTCCTCCGCGTAGCCCACAGGAAATCAATGTCGGCTTCCCGCCGTCAAGTGCACTTCGGGACACATCAGTTTCCAGTGAACACACGCTGCACTGTGTTCCTCCACCGGACAGGGAGTTCGGGTTTTACAGCCGCTGCTTCATAGTTCCCAAGAAGGATGGGGGGTTGCGTCCAATAATAGATATCAGGCACTTGAATCGGTCTCTGAGGAGGTTCAGGTTCAAGATGCTCACTATTCCCATCATCATGAATCAAATTCAATCCGAGGATTGGTTTGTCACGATAGATCTGAAGGATGCATTATTCCACGTTTACCAAATGAATGGATGCAGCTCTAGCTCCACTGAGGCTTCAAGGTATCAGGGTGCTAAATTATTTCGACGACTGGCTTATTATGGCCCAGTCACAAGAGCTGGCAGTTCGGCATCGAGATGTCATCCTTGCCCACATCCAGAGCCTGGGGTTGAAACTCAACACACAAAAAAAGCGTTTTGGCACCAGCTCAGAGAACCACATTCCTGGAAGTAGTGTAGGACTCAGTCACGATGCGGGCACAATTGTCTTCTGCATGGATCGAGTCCATCCTGGCCAAGGTGACCAGGATAAAGCTAGGCCAAGCCATCAATGTGAACAAATTTTCGAGAGTGTTAGGGCTCATGGCAGCAGCGTCTAATGTCATTCCATTCGGCCTGCTGCACATGAGGGCCCTGCAGTGGTGGTTGTAAACCAAGGGGTTTTCCCGGAGGGGGAACCCATTCCACATGATCAGGGTTACGCGAAGATGCCTTCGTTCCCTAGCAATTGTGGAAAAAAGCTTGGTTTCTGTCCCAGGGTCCCGTGCTGGGAGCATCATGTCGCATGTTGATAAAAATAAAATAAAAAAGCATTTAAAAAGTCAATATTACGAAATAAATTGTTGTGTCGTACAGAACCATATGGCCCAGTTTGTCAGGAAATTGGGTTGAATGAAGAGCAAGGACTCAAGGATGCGGACTAATGCGCTTTAGTAAATAGCAAGATAAACAAAATAATAACATAAACCACTCTATAGGAAAAAAATGTGGCAGCTGGACTAGACAAGATTTGACAGGATACAACAGGGAGCATGTAAACACAGAAAATAGGGAAGTAAACCAGTAGGGGAGAGCAGGTGGGGCAAATAAAGCAATAGTAGCAAGAAGGGTGTGTTTAAGATAATAAACAGTGGAGCACATGGCTTTGTTTTGTTTGTTTATTGGTGCCACACAAAACAACACGAAGACGCAGCCAATGAGAGCTCTCACCGACTGGAAGTCCACACTGAACATGGCAACATGTAAGCAAACGGCCCTATGAAAAACCCGATGTGTGCTACACAGCACAAGACAACAAGAAAGCAGGCAGCCGATTATAAACAGGAAAGCATTGTGCATGTTGGGACCCTCATATTTCGGAGGACTATATAACATCTGAATAGCAGGTTTCTTGCTAATGATCATTGTAATTTTGTCTTTCAAGAAAACTTATCTTGATATCCTGTACAAATTAATATGTATATACTGTTGTGTATGTTTAGGTGTGTGTATACAATGTATTAATGACAGAACAGAATGACTGACATGTAACTGTATCTATTTGTGTAGAATGCTCTTCCTCTCCATGTATGCATGATGGCACCTGCATCTTACACTCCTCTCATTCCTTCCACTGCGCCTGTCTGGCTGGATATACTGGAACGAGATGTGAACATGGTGAGAACAATCTTTTAAAAGAGAAATGTAAAATTTAAGAGGATGCTTATCCATATGTAACAGGGTTTAGGTATAGACTCGGATTGCAGCTGATTTGTCGTTGTTGTTGTTGTTTTAAATGTATTAACTCTCTATGGTAATTTGTTCAACCACTAACCTTACAGGACAAATTCATGCCATGTATTTTAACATGTTACGTTTGTATGTGCATGATCTCTCAGTGCTTGAATGCAGAAGGCCTTTGATTCCAGCCCACGGGACTGCAGTGCATCTGGATGTAAGGGTTGGCGGACATGTTCTGTTCCAGTGTGACCCTGGATACACATTAAATGGTTTCCAGATGGCCGCCTGTCTGCTGGATGGGTCATGGAGTACTCCAACTCCACAGTGTGGTGAGCAACTGAAAACTCATTATAAGGTATAGATCGGGCTGCAAGGCAATAATAATAATGATGATAATTCAATTCAAATATGTTTTAATCAGTTTCTCTTAAAAAGTGTCATCATATGCAGCCTCTATTCAAAATGTTTAAAAAATGTGTTCGCTAATATAGTTGAAGCACTGTATCTTTTCACCAGTGCCTGACCACAACTGTGGCATTCCTCCAAAGCCAGAGCATGGTGATCACTTCCTTGTTTATGGACCAAATGATGTACTTATTGCTATACAGTATTTTTGCTTTAAGCAATACAAACTGAATGGAGCCCCTCAGAGAACCTGCCTGGGCAACAACACTTGGAGTGGGACGGCACCAACCTGTGTCAAAGGTACCTGGACTCAGAATTTAGCTAGAAATGTATTTATTGTATGTTAATTAATATTGTCAATTAAGTTGTTATTGCTGTTGTTTCTTCAGTAGCTCTAGGTCCTGAAGTTCTTTAAAGTCTGAACTACTAAACTACTGAACTACTAAATCATGCTTTAATTTATCTTTTTGACTGAAATTAAAACCATTTCTTTGGACATTTTTTGGCAAATCTGTGGGTGACTAGATGGCCATTAGTCACTGCTTATTACCACTACCTATGCTCTCAAGCATACAAGATCTTCAGTAGCTATGTTTTCATCCACCTACTTTTATGCATTGGGATATCGCATAAAAAACATTGGATGAAAATTCTAGAAATGCACATTAAAAATACTTTGCACTCAATTGAGGCAGATAAAAAAAATGATCCGATAAGAAAACATGTCCATAAACTACGATGGAAACACATTCACCAAATAAATTCCTCGATGCACATCAAAAAAGTCATGTGAGTTTGCGCGATGGGATGACATAACTGGACTAACCAGCGGACCGATCTCGTTGTCCCGCATCTGAAATGCTGTTTTGGTCATTATGAAATGTCTGAGCAAAGTCTGTCATCAAAGTGGTTTGGAATAATGATCTCCCAGAACTGACACGACTTCGTTCCCAAACAGCAGGCATCTGAAAGCAAGATAACATGACGTGTTTATTCCATTTCATCTGCGTGCTCTGAGACTCAAGTCATTTATTATAAATGAAAAAAGACTTACAGTGGCTTCTCCTACTGCAGCAAATTAAAATTTTCTTAGTGATATTTGGCGCCAGTTTATCAGGAAGTGGCGATTTTCTTCCTTTCATCTCGCTGGATGGAAATAATTATGCAAATATGGATGGAAACATGTAGCTAGTGTATTTTACATAAAATCATTATTGCTATTCATCATTAGCGTGTATGTTATCTGGTTGCTATTTTATTTATTTATTTTCATATTTTCTTTTTGTTGGTAGTGCAGTGCTTTAATTAATCCTTTGCATTTCTTCTACTTACAGAGCTGGACATCATTTCTGGAGCAGATAATGAACAAAACAAAGGCAAACACAAACATACTGGACAAGATGAAGTGGGCCATTCCAAGAACAAAACTTCAGAAAAAGAAGAAAATGAGTCAAAACCAGACAAAGATAGACTAAAGAAAACTCCCCCTGGAAATGATGATGGGGGACTAGATTTAGAGCTGGGAAAAGATATAGGCAAAGATATTGGGAGTAATTTTGTACAAGAAAAGCCTAAAGTTGAAAATAAGGATACTGACAGCAACATTAACACAATTGAAAAGAAAGAAACTGGAGGGGATAAGGATAATCTTAAACTCCTTGACAAAGATGGACATCTAAATATTAGAGAAAAAGATGGCAGTCCAACAAAAGATTTGGACATGGATTTCATAGATATTGTGTTGATAGACAATAATCAGACAGCAAAGGACAAAACCAAAGATGGCGGCATGGACAAAGGACAAAAAATAACCGATGGACCCCAATACACCATAAGCCTGACCAAGGATGAGAAAGAAAACATTCTTTATGAAATAGATATCATACACAGAGGGAATAACACTGAATTTTTAAATAGGAATGACATAGAAGAAAATCTGGGGACACTGCCTCAAAAAGAAACAGAAGAACTCCCAACAGCTACTACTGGCAATGACAGCACAGAAGTCATACCAACAGTGAGCACAACTACCGAAAGAGTGACAACGAGGGTTAAACCTATGGAAAAGGTCAAAGTGGATACAGTAAATGAAAAGACAGCAGAGCAAGTTTTGCAACAAGAAACGAATAGAGAATCTCAATCAAACCTAAAGAATGAAGGTGAATATCCTCAAGCATCTTATTGAAACCCTACGAACATCTCTACAATGATACACATTCATTAGACCGTTTCTTTGGGTTAGAATGAAAACAAACACTATTTATACAGAGAAATGTATGCAACTAATAATATTTTATAGTGAAGTGCTGGTTGAACATGTTTGAGAATCTAGCTGCATTCTTTAGAGTCTTCAGCTTGTCAAAGGATAGTCTATATTGGCGCTGTCCTAAATTTGCCAATTGGTGTGGACTTGGATGCCCTGTTTTATGATTCAGACCTCTTCTGGCTACTGTCCACCTTTTTAAGAAGCTGTAGTGATGCAGACTTAACTACTCAACATTATATGGTATATTATGTCACCAAAGTAAAATATTCAGAGGATGACTGTAGGAGCTGTGGGTAGAGGACAGGGCTAATGTGGCATCTGATATTTAAATTAAGCACCTAGATGCAGCAGTCAACTTGATAGGTGCAAAAGATGATTTGGGAAATGCTAACTTTAGCCTGCTAGCATTGATCCCACCCACCCTTCAAATCGCCGTCCAAAGCCACGCCTCCTCCAAAACACATGAATGTGCACAGAGCAGAAGCGAGGCGACCACAGACAACGTTATTGGATTACATCGTGTGTTATTCACAGGTGAGAAAGCCTAACAGTACAGTGAGTAACAATACTACAACAACCAACTTAAACAACTGTTTGCCTGCCATTCTCGCTCTGTCTGCACAGCGTACGTGAACGCGCAGATGACGTATGATGTCTGTGTGAACAGGCTGCGCAGTGATATGCAAACACACGCTGACTGACAGGGAACATGTTAGCATGTAATTCGGACCGAATGCAATGATTGAACGAACATTTTATGGTCCTACGCTTTCCACAGATGATATATATTTGGGTGTGACGAGATTTCTCACAGAGAGAGTACTTTGATTACGGTTTGCACTTAATAAGACTAAGAAAAAACTGTATTTTATTTTAGCTATTTACACAGTTTTTATTTCTTTGTTCAATTTGTGGAAAGGAGTTCAGTTAGGAGGTTCAACACAGCCTCAATCAGAAGTTCTGGAAGCTCAGAGTTCATGAACAGTAAGGTCTGAAGAGACTCATTTGAAATCATACTTGAGAGAAGCCAGTCAGTTGAGTTTGTGGCAGAACCTTTTACAGTGCTTGTATATTGTTGTCTTTCAATACATTTGATAATTCATACTTATAAAGTAGAACTGAAATTACATTCATTACAAGATTATTTGTTAAAACATTTTAAAAATGCACCTGCAGACTATTTCTTCCAGTCATGATTTTTGTCATTGAGGATTTCTATTAAATATTGTGCAAAAATCTCATTCTCGTGAACCCAATCTCGTGTCTCGTCTCGTGAGATAAGTCACACCCCTAATATATATATATATATATATATCGTCACACCCCTAATATATATATATATATATATAAATACATTTAGACCGCTCAAGATAGTGATTGCTATCAGGATATGACGAGACTTTCAACCCGCATAACAAAAACGGTTTCTGTAGAGAATCACCTATTGCACCTTTAATTAGCAATAATTCAAAATAACAAACACTCAGCATATCAGGAGAATATAAAACGCAGGAGCGAAATAACCACTAACCAAAGACGTAGTGATAGATGTAAGAATAGACTAAACAGGGAGTATATACAGTATACACTGACTAAATGAGTGAGGGACACTAGGAAACTAGGTCGACTAAGAAAATAAACACAGGAACTGGAACACATAAAACTAAACCAAAACTGAACATAAACCTGACATTGGTTCTTTTTAGTCGATCGAAAACATACAACACAACCAGTTTTGTCCGATTGCCAAATGAAATGAAATGATCCCAAAAGCATCATAAGCCTAAGTTAATCGTAGAGACCATTGGTGGCAATCTTTCTACAATCAACTTGCTTTTGATTTTGAGAATTGCTGCCCTGACAAATTAGCATTGGAATTGCATTTCTTCCCCCACCCCAACCTCTCATTTCTCAAAAGTCTTTTTACACAGTTTTTTTTTTTTTTTTTTTGTAGTTGCCCCAAGCAGTTGTAATTACGTGGATGAAAATGTTGGGTGTTATTCGATGGGATTTTGTTTAAAACTCTTGACTGGACAAATAGTAGCCTCTGAACGGTCATGTTTATGGGACTAATAACGTGCATAGGCCACACATAAGTAATACACCTGCTTTGAGCACTGTTACTGTACTCAGATAGGGTGCAATCACCCAAACCCAGATAACAATAACCATTGAAACCATTGCAATGTTTACATTTTTCACACTCTCACACTTTCTCTTCTCTGTCTCAGAGGGTGAAGGGAGACTGTGTCCTCGACTGGCACCATTGTATCATGGTTACTATGAGTCAGTACCTGGCCTCATTCCTGAAACAGTGGAGTTCTTCTGTAACCAGTCGTATGCTCTGAGTGGCAGCTATCGCAGGACGTGTCAGACTAATGGCACCTGGTCTGGCACACAGCCCGTCTGCATTAGAGGTCAGTGCAGTCTTAGAATTTCTCTCTTTCAAATATATAAAAGGGGAAAATTCACTACGAATGAATTAGAATAATTGAAAATAGCTTAATTTAAAAACACATGATTAAGAGCCATTATGTTGTATTGAATGTTTGGTGTGATTCCATTGTTTGACACTGTGGGTCTACTTTAACTGTAAATGAATACGTATAAATGCTAAATAAAGTCACAATAGCCTTGTTGAAACCCCACCAGTGGATGGACATTCTCAAAACATTCCTAGTCCTGAAATTGACACACAAGCTGGTGTTGGGATGTGCCCATTGAAACACTGGACACGCCACTGGGCTTTCTGTATGCACCAATAAAAACTGCTGGCTTGGGAATTCCAAATTTGGGGACCTCAATCCCATTGCTACAGAAAACTCGATTTGGCAAACTCCTCTCGAGTAATAATTCCATCGAAAGAGCCCTGACTGAACAACCATCTTTTAAGACAATTCTGCGCACGATTAATCTTGGTTGGTTGGTAAAGAAACTGCAGAGGAAGCAAAGACAGAGTGGACGAAACAGCTGCAAGTCTCTGTGGACGGGAAAAACTGTGAATGAAGATATGGATAGAACAAGTTATCACTGGCTCGAAAAACTTAGCAATGTCTTCTACCGTCTTCATTTACAGAGCATTTAACTTCGCGGGGTGTCCTGAATATAAAAGCAAGGGCTGCCAGAGGGAGGAATACGACGTTGGAAGATACAAGATGTCGAGGGGCCTGTCACACAAAGGAGACATTAAATCACATTCTCCAGGTGTGTGAAGTAACCCACGATGCAAGATGGAGTCCAGATGAGGGTAGAACCTATAAAAATAACTACGAAAACGAGCTTCATAAAACCTGACATAATGGTAGATGACGGCTGTAAGATTACCACCCTTGATGTATCCATAGTAGCAGGTTGTCGGATGGAAAAGATTTATAAGTTGAGGATTGGAAAATACGGCTCCCCAGACAATGTCATGGACTGGAACCAGCGCCCTGATCAAACACCACCCAGTGATCATATCAAGTAGGAGTCTGATGTATGGCCCTTTAGATCCCTACTTGATATGATCAGAGGTCAGATAGATATGATCAGAGGTACAGAGGTCAGACAGATCTCGCTTGGAAATACTATGATCTATATTCATGAGGAACTTGAAAACTTACGGAAAGTACCTTGCCATTCTAGATGACCTGCAATAGCAGCGACGACCTCGCCATAATGATGAAGACTTGATAACTTGATGTCAATTGCCAGAGAGTAAGAGACGTCATGTGTATGGAGGGAAGCACAACAATTTTTTACAGTGTCAGGACATGTGCCGTGGGATTACTATGTGTTTGTGTATCGGAACTGTGAGTTTAAAATGACATCTTCGAGCTTTGTTATAAATAAATTTGATAAACTCAGTACTGGACTGGAAGTGTGTCTTGTAGGGTTGTTTCCAATGCCTGCTATAGACTGAGCGATTTCGACAATCCTATAAGATCATTACAAATATCACTGCAAGACATGGATCTAATAAACTTGGGTATGATGTACGTTGAATCGTAGGCTACGACGCAAGTTATTATAAAAGAATAAAACGTCATCGGCATGCGCTAGTGGTAAACAAATAGAACAAGATGAATCGCACTCCAGCAATTGTGGATTTTATGTGCGCCGAATTGTGGATTTTTATTGGCTGGTCAGTATACGTAGCTCGTAACAGCAAACACACTGTTAGATGATCATGCTGAATTTGTCAGAAAATTATTGCAGGCTATCTTTGGTCGCAAGACCGTGACAACGGCCGTCTTTGAACCTCGCTCACTGTACGACGTAGCACACCGTTTAGGAGCCACAGATACAGAAATCACAACGATTGCTCATCTTTCATCTGGGACAGCCCAGAATCATACAGTGTTTACAGGGCAGCATGGTCCGTTGTCACTTCACATGGTGCTGCTCAGTACCAACCACTTTAGTGTCTGGTTAAGTTAGACTTTCGCACTGAAACTTGCAATCTGCACCCAAGTGTGATAACAGACTAAAATACGGAGTTTCACTTTAAAATAACGGATAAAGTGGTTTAGATTTGGGGGTGATTGGGAGGTTATTATAGACAGAGACCTGTGGGCAAATGTGGCCCTAATTCCAAGGTTACTACACTTTTCATAAGTAATCCTGAGATTTTTTTATGACCACAGACCAATCAGGACCTCTGTAAAATTGCTCACGTGAAAGATGCTGCTTTTTTGCAGTATAGTGTACAGTGTTACTATACTGAAGCATGAGGACGTACAGGGTGATGCCTCCTGTTGGCCTCACCAGCACCTTAGTTTTCCAATCCAGATACTGACCAGCTCAACCATGCTTAGCTTCGATCCAGGCGAGAGTTACAGAGCGATAGCTGCTGGCAAATGTAACTGCATTAACAACACACATTTTTGAGAAGCCCAAGATATTTAGCATATTAAAACTCAAAGTATTTTCATAAATACTGTGCTGACATCAGTATTTATGAAAACTAAGCTGTGTTTTGTTTGTATTCTTATTTACAGCATGCAGAGAGCCCAAAGTATCTGTGCTGGTCAAACAGAGAGTTCTTCCTCCCCACATCCCTTCCAGGTACTGTTTCACTCCATACATCAACACATGTGCAAATTTAGATTTACTGGTTTTCCATTTTAATAATGTGATATAATTCTCCCATTCCTTCCAAAGCAAAATGTTCAAGTAATACAGTTTATGTAATATGTGACCTGTAAACTTCCAGGGTGCTGGTAGTATTTCATTTATTCTGTATGTTTTTCTTCAGGAAAACACCTGTGCATAAGTTTTATTCTTCTTCTGGGGCAACCAATTTCTTAAGGGAAGTGTGGCCCACCCAGACCCCTTTCAGCCTCCCCCCGCTCCCACAGGGGTTTCACCATCTCTACACACACATTGAGTACGAGTGTATGTCCCCGTACTACCAGCACTCTGGAAGTGCACGCAGAACCTGTCTGAAGATGGGGAAGTGGAGTGGACGTCATGTCTCTTGTTCACCAGGTGAGGGCACACATGACCCAAAACAAACAGCACTGCAGGAGGTGTAGCGGGCTTTGTTGAAAGGATAACTCGTCCAAAAAATCTTTATTCATTTGATCACCCTCACATCCTTCCAATCCTGTATGACTTAGAGCAGCCTAAAAGCACCATAAAAGTAGTCCAGATATAACTTGTGCATTATATTCCAACTCTTGCTTCATGATTGCACATATTCAAAGTGTTGTAAACAAGGTCTCCTACAACAGGTTCACATGCATCAAAGGTTAAAAAACACGTTCATGCTCTCATAATATACATTGCACATCACCACATTTTTCAATGATTCTCAAACGACTCAACGGATGAATCAGTCTCTCTAAATCCCTTCTTTCTGTGAGCCTGCTCTGCTCTGATTGGCCAGATGGCCCAGTCTGTTGTGATTGGTCTACTGCTTACAGTGCACGTCGGAAACAAAATGCTCATTACCATAAACTTCCTGAGGCTTCCTAAAGCTCAGCGATTGTACACACTGTAAAGAGTATTTTACCATATCAATCTGAGCTCGAGTCCAATGATGAAACATTGGAAGAAATAGTTATTCAACCCGAATGTCCATCGCAAGGACGACTCGAGCAGGACTCAGTGTTTCTCAGGGATACGCTACTCAGTTTGAGGAACATTATGAGATGTTGCAACTGTTATTCCTCATATTTCCAATTTATTGCAGTGCACATGCGGGAACTGTATCAATAACGGTGCATACATTAGCCGAGCACTAACGTTAAACACTGATGTAACATAAACGTTTGTAACACAAATCTTGCTCCAGCCTTTATCTTTACTCAAAGTAGTGAGAACGACAGGCAATCTGCATTACTAGACACAGTTATAGGTAATAGTGTCCCACAGCTGATCAGCAGAAGTATTTCAGTAAGACAGTGATAACATGAGTGAGCCAGTTAACAGAAGACCTACACAATATAAAACACAAAACTACATATTTTGAACACCCGGTAGAAAATATATACAATAATTTGTCACACAGGTTGTGATTATGAGGAGCAAGCTGGTCCAGATAAACTGATAGTGCTGACCTATCTTTCAAGAGCAAGCGTTTAGCAAATCCCGCTTTGAACTAGCGTCAATAAAAGGACGTTTGAGGACGGATCAACAACGTACAATATAGGCGAGTATTATGCAGATATCTTTTCTAGTGACGTAGAACTGATTCAAAATACAAACTACTTGTTAAGGCGGTTTAGAGTTGATTCTTTTTTGGGAGACAATAACTTTACTTTTTCAGCTATATTACACACTGCCTGAAAGGGAATATTGGAAAAACCATAATAGTGGCACTTTAAATAGGTGTTTTCAGGGGGGTGTAATGAAATGAGGAATAGTGAGTTCTAAAAGTATTTTCAATTTGCTGTCTTATTGTAAATGTCAACAAAGTCACATGGATTTAAATGGATATTCCTTTTGTAATCTGCTTATATTTTAAGGTGAGCCTCTGGAAATAGACCTAGATTGTCAAGTTCAAAAGTTACAGAATGAAAGTTTCACATCCACATCTTGGATGTTTGTGCTTTATGAGGACTCTCTATAGATATAATTATTTGTATACTGTACAAACTTTACATTCTGTCCCTTAACCCCTAAATCAACCCTTACGGAAAACATAGTATGATTTATAAGCTGTTTTCCACGTGGGGACCGAAATTTTGTCCCCACAACATTAGTATTACTATCCTTGTGGGAACATTTGGTCCACAATGTAGGGAATGCATGGACCAAACACACACAACACACACACACTCTCTCTCTCTCACACACACACAAAATACACACACCTATAAGAGTGTCAACACAGGAAAATGCATGAGGTAGTGAGGAAGTAATAAAAGACTTAATTGAGCTATCCATTATCCATAACAATCCAAATCCTCAAAGTGCTCTTTTATTGTTATATTCCATAATCTGTCAAGTATTCCTTGATTTTGTTTCTTCTCTTAGTTTCTTTTCTCTCTCTCTATGGCAGTGTGTGGGAAGCTGACGAACTTTGACCCTCAGAACCCAGCAGAAACCAAATGGCCCTGGCTGGCTGCCATCTACCGTTTGCCTGTTGCAAGCAAACTAGGGAAGTTAAGTGTGACGAGGACAATGGGGAAAAACATTGAACCGATGGAAGAAGAGAGTGACATGGATGGTTGGCAGCTTGTTTGCAGCGGAGCCCTGGTGAACCAGCGCAGTGTGGTTGTAGCTGCCCACTGTGTCACAGAGCTGGGGAAATTATATCCACTCGACACGGCCAAAATCAGAGTAGTGCTTGGCAAACAGTATCGCAGCGATCTGAGAGTGACCAAGGGACTGCAGCGATTACGGGTCCGTTTGTAAGAACACCAACAGCTAGAAGTTTGGACACACCTACTCATTGTTTATTATTACTGCATTCCACATTTTATACTAAAAAATAATAATTGTAAAATAATAGTCAGAATTTAAACTATGAAATATCCAAAACACCGCTGGGGGCCTCCAGGATACCCTGGCCTAGAATACAGCACTCTGTGTAATAATCATATGCTGCCAAATATTTTTGTATATTCTCTTATTCACGTCTCATCTCTGATTGGCCAGGTGTCCTCCATCACTCTCCATCCAAACTATGATCCACTGGTGCTGGACTCAGATGTGGCCATACTGAAGCTCTTGGACAAGGCTCGTATTGGAGAACATGTGAAGCCGATCTGCCTTCCGAACGCTCGGGATACAGTAGAAGACTCCAGGCCAGGGATGGTGACAGGCTGGTCCCTCTTACCTGACCAAGAGGCTGGAAATGTTGAGAAAGCACGCGTGGGCCGTGTGATTCTGGGCGATATTGTTCACTGTGAGCAGCAATACGCCAATCATGGTGTTCCTATCAGTGTGTCTGAAAACATGCTGTGCGGGCGACAGGGTGCGGGCGCTGGTCAGTCCAACATCTGCCCTGCCGACACTGGAGGGATTCTCATCTTCCCAGTCTCCAGTCCCACACCTCCACATGGACAGGGTTCACAAGAGTGGAAACTTTTAGGGTTGGTCAGTTTCGGACATGATTCTTCAAACTGCAACCCAGAGCTTTACACCGTGTACACTAATGTTGCTAATTTTGTCAACTTTATAGAGGGAAATATGACATAGGCTGACATGCAATATTACATCTCTGTCTCATTTATATTATGTCATGCAGTTCCTTCTATCCCTTATAACACTGCATTATGGGCTAATGTATACACTGGACGATGCAGTACACAGATGTATAGGACATAGACTTATACTTTAAACAGTAAGTCCAAACACAACATGAACATCTACCAGCACTTCCTACAGTATGTGCTGGCCTCGACTTCTCAGGTGATGTAAAATGAGTCACATCTAGTGATAGTTGGTTTTGCCTATAAATCTTTAAATTGTACATAAATTGTAATATTGTATTTACCATTGTAAGCATTATTGAAAGGTGTACATATTTACATATAATAACATATATTGTCATTGGTCAGACCATAACTCATAGTAATATGGACTGCAGTGACATTTACTCTGAAGAGGCAAGTGAAAAATAAAAGGGAAAATAATTTACAGAACAAAATTAAAACTAATCATATATTACAACATAATATTTTTTTCTAAAATGACAGTCCATCAGCTACACCGGTGAATACAATTTTAGAGCTAATTCTTAAAGTGTGATTAGAATATGAGGAAAAATGGCTAGAGACACGAGAGAAGTCTCTGAGAGGAAGCAGCGCCTCTATTGGAGGATTGGCCTCTTGTTCAAATCTAAATAAACTGGAAACACAAAATGTGTGAACACGTTTTAGCAACCGTTCATCTCAGTTCAATGAATTGATGTACTTCATTGCCTGTGATTACTTCTGATGTTTTCAGAGGATTTATTGACTAATGTTTCAAATAACAGTGCAAGTTCACACTCTCATATAATACTTTACTGAGGTCCATGATGGAGGGCTTGAGACTCGAGTCGATTATCTAATCAAGCTGACTATCAACTTGACATGACTATCTAATCAAATTGGGACTTTTTTTGTTGCCAATTTTTCTTTTCAAAGCTAAAGAAATATTTAGAAGCTGCAGCCATCTGTTCAGTACATAAATGTAATGCATATTTTAAGCGAATAAAAACTGAGGTAGTATTAAGGTGATGGAGGCATGCTGAGATAAGCAGTGATGTGATGAACATTTAAATCTTCAGTTAATAGAAAATGTAAAAACTTTATAATATTAAGCAATATAGAATTGGTTGCTTGTTAGTAGTGTAAGGTAAACGTTGCTTCATTTACCCAGAAGCTGTGTAAGTAACACCAGCATGTTCTTTATAGACAGGTTACAGTCAAATTAATATGCATATGCATTCGAGCAGATCCATGCAAATGTCAACCTTAGCATGAAAAAATAAAGTTTTTACCAAACAAAACCCTTTTTAAGCCCTGGTTTCTCCCTCTCTATGACATTTTTGGTGTTAACCACTTAAATTTTTTAAGCCTACCTTTCACTTTATCAGTGACTCCTTCCCAATTTTCTTCTATGTTCATGTCATCTCTCAAATACACTCCTGAGTACTTAAACCTCCCCCTTTTCCACTAAACTGACTCTCTTGACCCACTTGACTCTCTGTGGTCACAAAAAATCCCAGGATGTCTTTCGAAAGAGTAGGGGTGTAACCCCAGCATCCTGGCCAAATTTGCCCAGTGGCCTCTGTCCATCATGGCCTCCTAATCATCCCCATATATATATACCAATTGGCTTCATCACTGTCTCCTCTCCACCAGTAAGCTGGTGTGTGGTGGGCGTTCTGGCGCAATATGGCTGCCGTCGCATCATCCAGGTGGATGCTGCACATTGGTGGTGGTTGAGGAGATTCCCCCTTCCATGTGAAGCGCTTTGAGTGCTGTGCTGTCTTTACAACTTTGCTGTTGTAAAGTAGTTTAATTGAATCATAACTCATGCTGAATACTCCGGTACAGTAGGTGGCAGTGCGCACCTGATAAGTCATGGTTGCAGTCAGCCATAAAACTAAAATAAGAAGAAGGAATCAGCTGTGAAGTGGGACAGAACACACAGTTTTCGACCACACATTGTTTGATTGACCAACATACATATTTTTTGTTGCTTTCTTTTGGAAATAAATACTTAATTTAGCATTTATATTGGATATGTATATCTTGTATTATGTGCATCAAAGAATCCCTCAACCTTAACGCTGGCTTTAATTTTGGATTAATTTGTGGACAAACAGACCCTACTGATTTCATTAAGTCACATTTTACAGCAACAACAACACAAAATCATTTCAATCTCTTAGTGTCCAAAAGCAGGGCCTCAGAAATGACTAAATTATTAAATCGATTCTTTACAACTGGAATTACCAGTGCGTTTGCGCACAGACCGTCAAAGGTCAACAGTACGCCTTTAACAAAAAGAGTCCAAAAAATTGTCTAAAATATAAGCAAATTAATGAAAACTAAATTTAAATCAAACAAAATATTCAGTATCAGATGGAGAGAATAATAATCGTGTTTGAGATGAAAGAGTGGGGTCGTTTGATATGGAAAGAGTTCCAGATATCGGGAACCTGGTAGAGTGCTGGGAAGACTAAATTCTCCTTTTACCTTCTGGTGATCACACGTCAGGAAAGTGTCACAGAAGGAATCAACACTCACAGGATCAGACTTGCAATTCTGCAATTTCACTAGTGTCTAGTTTCCCTAACCCTTTAGGCATTGGTTTTCACAGGCGGCGTCCAGACTTCAGCTCGTTCAGTCACTCTTAACCCATGCATGCGTGTCCCTGTGCCATTATTCCACAACGCAGACATGCAGACTTTATCCACATGAAAAATAATCCAACAGAGTACCTTCACGACATGCTGATTCAACGGCCTTGTTTTTCCCACTGACTTTTCCAGACACTGGCTGCGTTCGAAACCGCATAGTCAATGAGTAGGTACTTAATTTCAATAAGTACTATGGGTACTATATAGCCAGATCATGTTGAGTATGAATGCGAACCGGACATCTGCCATGTGACCTGCGACGAGTTATCACAAGCGCAATAACTTAAAAGATACGAACGACATGTTTAATTAATCTGTATATATCTTGATATTGATGAAACTTACTCGGTTTGTGGTATTGTTGAAGAAACAGCTGCCCATTTATTTTATGAAAATATTTAGGGTTGATTTAAAGGGGACCTATTATGCCCCTTTTCACAAGATGTAAAATAAGTCTCTGATGTCCCCAGCGTGTGTATGTGAAGTTTTAGCTCAAAATACCCCACAGATCATTTTTTACAGCATGTTTAAATCGTCACTTTTTGGGGCTGAGAAAAACGCACCGTTTTAGTGTGTCTCCTTTAAATGCTAATGAGCTGCTGGTTCACAGCACAGGGGGCGGAGCCTAACCAGCTCGCGCTCAGTGAACAATCTCAACTCACGGAAAGATGATAATATCAAAACAGAAACTCACAGTAACGGTGTTCATTTCGACTCGGACAATAATGCCTACAGAGTCAGAGAATATATGATGTATGGAGTTGGAACTGATATAGTTTAGTTTAATTACGGTTATAACCTATGTGTCATTGATTGTAGCCACTATTAATACAAGCCTGCTGTAGGACCATGTCTGAATGATGACACAAAATATACTGATGAGTTTAATAAAGTTTATTGTATGTCACACAAAAGAATAAGCGTCAGTTTTACTCCAGAAAATCACTGTAAGAGCTGAGTAAACACAGTATAAGAAGTGCGTAGGTACATAAACAAATTTAGGTAGAGTTGAGGGAGCATTTTTCAAAGACAAAATAAACTCACCTCGTCTTCAGCGGGTGGCTCAGATTTCAGGAGTAAATAGAGAGAGCTATGTGAATGATTTCCATTACACGAGAGTAGATGTTAAAACTTCATGCTGATTTGTACTCGGCTTTCGCCAAGATAAGCAAAACTAAGACGTAGCTTTACAGTAAACTATGCTTCTCCATCCATTTACGCTTCTTTCCATATGGTGGTGTGACTCCCCTTCTGTCCGGCGTTAACGACTGCAGTGTACTTGGCGCGTCAGCGCACGCGACGGCTGCAACTACAGTGTGGTCTCCCTAGTGGACCAGCACGACAACCTTCTGGATTGAGCCGAGTAGGGGACATCTCTAGGGTCTTCAAGTGGGCACCTTCCGTCCTCAGTGTTTCGTCGACTAGCCCACGACACCTCAAGAGGGCTCGACAGTGACTCTGGCGTCCCAGAGTCACCCCCCTCCGTCCCCCACTCAACTCAGCCCAGCTTACTGACCTCTACATCCCTCCTGCTGCTGAGACCTAACCACAATCTCTCCGCAACCCAACCATACGCGCCAACCCGTTTGACTAAGGCTGTCGAGCCCCACTGGTGCGTTAAAGCAGTTTCAGTGGCAACGGTTCCGGATGGCATACCACCTACCGCAAAACACAATATCTGCCCAACCACCCGTCATTCACGCAATATCCACAGGAACGTATACAAATAAACCAACAGACTCTTCAAGTTTTCAAGAATTCTACGAAACCGTAGCGTGGCGGCCTGTACACAGCCAGCTAGAATCTTTCCGTCTCAACCACAGCCAGTTGCTGCTCCTTTCTGCTGCTTCAGATAAGTTCTTTACTGTGCGACGCAACTCTTCCGACGTCTGAATCCGACGTCTCTGAGGAACTGGGTTGTAGAGTGTGCCACAAAACCTCGACAACCCACTTCATCAGTTGAACAATGCGTGCTGATCCAGACCACAAAACAATATCTGGTCGTAGTGGTGGCAATCTCTGGTTAGTGGTGGCAATCTCAGATGGAAAAATAAGCCGTTGATCAAGATCAGCCAGCATCTTCCAGTCCCTAGCAGCTTCCAGTTGTCCTGGGCGAGAATTGGTGTTAACACCTTTTCTTGGTGGTTGCTCGCCTGGGCGGAGGAATATTGTCTTCTGCGTGTAATGTTTTGCTAGAACAGGTGGCAACTTATTGGTCATGTTACGCTTGCCTTCTAATGCTAAAGCCAAACATCGCAGTACTTGGTCATGGCGCCAAGTAAACCGACCTTGGCTAAGAGCCACCTTACATCCTGTCCAAATGTGCCTTAATGTGGCAGGTGATGAACACAAAGGACAAGAGGGATCCTCTCCTACCCAGAGGTTTAGGTTCTGCGGTGATGGGAGAACATCATATGTTGGCCTAATAAGGAAACTGATCCTACTCTCTTCCATTGACCAAAGGTCTTGCCAGCCCATCTTACGTTGTTCCACACTCTCCCATCTCATCCACTCTCCCTGCTTGGCCTGGGAAATGGCCTTTATACACCTCATCCTCTCCTCCTGCTGTCGCACCTTGTTGACTACCAGCTTCCTCCTTTGAGCTGAGCCTGCCTTGTGCCATTTAGGAGGAGCTAAACTGAGCCCAAAACCCCCTCTTCCATGCTTAACCTGTCCCACGATATCCCCAATTTGAAGGGCAGCCTTTGCCTCTACTACAGATTTCTTTGCTGACCACTTTCTACGAGTTTTTAACACAGGGGCTGCCTCCCTTACACATTTGTCGCGTGACTCTACTAAGGTCATTTCCAGTCTGACCTTGGCACACTTAAACTCCCCGGTTAAAGCAGAGACTGGCAGCTGCAATATTCCTTTACTATAAAGTCCTACTC